ACACCAAACTAAAGCTTCACCTTCCCCAAACCTGAAGAAGTTCTCAGTGGAGCCCTGGTCTGTGAAGCTGAAATACATGTTTCATCAGTTTTGCATGTGTTCACAAGCCATTGTTATTGCAAAATGTTAATTATTTGAAGGAAAGCTGTTGATAACTGCTTGGCATGTGGCCTGCAGGAGTGGGGAGTGTGTAGGGTGGAGGTGAAGAGAACTCGCATGTGCAGTCTTTTCCTGGATTAGATTATTCCAAATTCAAGTATGTGTTTATCTTTATGCTGAGATGCTCAGGTTTGGGATTTTTTTACTTGAATGCCGTAATCTCAGTTGACTAACCTAAGTATTTKCAGCAGCCTCAACATAAAACAAGCAAAAAAATCTTCAAACAAAGCAAAAKAATCCCCATCTTAACTGGTGGTGAAAAGTATCTGCTTAGCTGTTGGTTTTGTTGCTCTTGTGCTAGAGTAAAGATTTTCCTGAAGACCGTGCTGCTGTTTTGTGTTAACCTTGAGTTTGAAGTGCTCTGAGTGGGTTGGCTGAAAAGAAAACACTTTTATGTTACCTGAAAGAGGGGTATGACAGGACTGAAGCTTTCCCAGGGCTGTTTGGTGAATGGGGCTGTGCTGTTTGGGTGAGGTCTGAAAGCAAGGGAAGTGAGGAATCTTGTGACAGAGGGGGCAGGATGTGGCACACAGCTGACCCAGGGGCCTCGCAGAAATGTGTGGGCAGCTTGGGAAGGTGGAATGGGATGGTTTGGGGACTGCAGGCCAGGAAGCTTGGTGCAGTGGGTGTCTGAATTCGAGGTCTCCAGTTGTGCTGGCCATCCTGTGCTCCAGGCAGGAGAGAGCATCTCCCGTGTTGGTGTTTTCCAGGACAGACAAATGCTGGTGCTGCACGATGGTGTCAGCTCAAGGTGGCTCTTACACTGAACAGCCRTGGGGAGTTTTGCATCACCCCACCAGAAGTTAACCTCCCCAGTCTTTGGTGTATACTTGATGATGTGTGACTCGTGGGGTCAAAACCAGGCTAATATTACAAGAGATTTCAAAAATGTATGCAATGCAGCAGTCACTGCCTCTGCTCAGAAATCTGTGTTTTCTGGTCTGCTGTGGGCAGCAGTGCCTGTGCAATTTTGCATTGCAAGAGACACTTTTAAGTCAGCCCTACTGACTGAAATGCCTCCTACTTTGCCAAATCCTGGGTACAGGATGTATTTCTGCGTGTCTTTCTGGGTCTCCTGTGTATCTTCTATTCTTCTAGATCTTTCTTCTCCTGAAGAACATGAACAGTAGGGCTTCAATTCCATAATGAAGTGGGTGGCTTTGAGAGTCTAGTGCATGCCATTTATTTCATTAGCTATACCTTTAATTTTTGGAATGCATTGTACAATGCTGGTCTTTTGAGCACAATAGGAAGCAAAAAAAAACAAGTTTGATCCTATCAGAGCAATACTTGAACAACTGTTGATGCCTGCATACTTGTTTCTTCTGTGTGAACAGATTTATGCATAATTTCATTTAGAAAATAAAACGAGATCTGTGAATAGATTTATGTAACTTGGATGAAACTGACATTTCGTCTACAATAATGACACATTATGGATCCTTAGAATGGAATCTTTATTGCTTTAATGAAAAGATGAATGACTTTATACGAGCCATAGAGTGTAATGGCTTTTAAACATTTTTGGTGGAACACAGATATTTTAGTTTATAAATAAACATAACTCTGCCGTGCAATAATGAAGAGAAACTGCGTGTATCCTTTTGTTTCCCAGGAGCAAAACAAAGCTTCAGGTACAGTAATGATTGGGTAATGTTAAACATGCAATTGCAAGAACTAGTATAAATGGATTTAGATATATGASAATCTCTAAAATTACTCATTCCTTTAACATCTCTGAGTCACAGTGCATGAAAGAAGAGACACTAATTAGATAAAGAACTGAAAACAGGAATCTAAAATGACTGCCAAATAYAGATCTAGCCTAGCCACCAGTCCCTACCACTTTCCTCCAACCAGGAAGAGGAATTAMTTATCCAGCTCTGTGTGAAAAAGAAATTAAATGTACACTGATAGCTTTTCCTTTACGCTGAAATGCATCTGATGTTCCTGGGTGTTTTCAGGGTCACTTAATGGCTTGTCTGAGTTCAGTTATATTTATTTCTCAAGTATGAGGGAATCTTTTTASCTGTACAGATAAGTAGGCTCCAGTTTTTAATTGAGGCATCATTAAGTCATTCTTTAATTGTGTTTGTATGCAAGCATTCATTTTTGTGTACCAGAAAGGATATGGTTGAAAAATCCAGTAAAGACAAGTTAAAGCATCTGTTCTTGTAAAAGASTGGTTCCATATGTCATAGAATGTTTTACTGTTAGCATGAACATCGCTCTGCATCATCAGAATATTCYRTTCAGAATRCTCYAGGRTTCTCCATTCAGTATCTGTGTCTCYTCAGTGCAGCTTCCATTCTACAAAAATACTGAGCTGTAGTTGGGCACCCAACCGTGTTAGTTCTTCTTTGGTCTGGGATTTTAATGATAGTGTAATTACAGATGGATATAGTTACCACAACAGCTTCTCAAAAGGGAAATTGGTACTTTGTCTCAGATATTTCTTAAATTTGAAAGTCAGTATTAATGTGAATACTTGCTTGTACCAGAACACTTAATATTGGATTGTATATCAATAATGTCTCAGTTCAATAGCTGACTATTGAAGCAATATTCATGAAACTGCTTCTTGAAGGTGTGGCCATTTTTGTACTATAAAGCTGAATATTCTTCTGAGTGCTGCTCTGCCAAGAATTTTCAGCAAGCCTTAATCTTAATGTTTTCCTGTAGTTTATTCTGTTTCATGTTTCAGGAGTAATCTGGTGATTTCAGGTCAGAAAAAAAATCTTAAATAAGGTGTTGTGCTTAGTATTGAATTGGACATGGGGTGTGTGTAGATTATCATGCTACCTGCCAGAGATCTGTCTTTTCCAAGATACAACACACACACACACAGAAAAAGTTTTAAAAAAAAAAGGTTCAGAAGTTAGGTGATTTATGGGTAAGATTGGTTCATCAAATAGTCTATATTTTAATTTCTTAAGCTGACTGAATAATAAAAAAGCTCAGAAACAGGTCAAACTCCAAAACAAAAGGTGTAATATGCTGTCAAATAAATAGTGTTAACGTCAAAGGTTTTTATTTACAAGTAAGATACTTTTTTTAAAAACATCTGCTTTTAATAATAGGCTGCCTTTAAAGCATGAAATTCCCCAAATGTGGAATAGGCAATGAGTCTCATTTTGGGTGGAGAGCCTGCTGCTTGGCTGGCCACTCATTGTCATGGAGTCTAAATATTGCTCAGGGAAACAATTTTTTTTTGCTGATGTAATTGGTGTTCTAGAGTCTATAGAAGTTTATTGCAGTGTTACAAGGATAAAGGCTGTAACCTGCTGGATGTGCAGTGACCCACCAGTCATTCCACTGCCATAACACACTGAAATTGTTCTGTCTGCATGCCACTGCCTTTGACAGAGCTGCCATTCATGCTCTTGTTCCAGGTGGTGTGCTTTCAGCTCTTGTCTGTTCTCCTACCCATACTGCACTCTCCCTAATGGTTTGTGTTTTTTTTTTTGTTTGTTTTTTAATTGTTTTTTAAATGTCTTTTAACCTGGAGCACTTTCCTCCTGTTCCAGTTTTTCAGAGTGTGAGCAGCCTATGCAGTTAGTCTACATCAATGTGCACATCACAAACTTTTCCTCACAAGTCCAGACAGAGAAATGACAAAGTTTTTGCATATCTGGAGGAAAAAGTCTGTATAGAGTTTCAGGACAAAATGTTACAGTGATGGTGGTGGGGTTATTGATTTTTATTGAGTTGAGTATTTCTCAAKGTGCGTATTAATACAAATTTAGTAATTCCAGAAGTTGTGGGCAAATCAGATGCTCATGAGAAGGCAGCCATGCTGGAGATGAGCTGACTGATGTCAAAGAGAAAGCCACAGAAGGTAACTGCTGAGTGTACCAGGGTGCTAGCCCTGGTTCAAATGCAGCTTTGAACTGCACCAGATTGATTTCCTGGACACTGAACACTGTTGTTGCTCCAGATTTGATGCATTTGTACAACTTTTGACTCCTTTTCCAGAGCTCATTTTGCTGTGATGGAATACAGAAGGTTAACTCTATTTTCTTACGATCTGCTGGATTCAGCTGGGAGGTGTTTTAGAGGAAACAAGCCATTGTTCTGAGCCATCAGAGGAGGAGGGAGAGTCATTGAGTTARGAAGTCATGTCCTATTCCTGATTCAGCTGCTGAAAGGGATCAAAAACATTTAGTGGATCTTTGGGATCCACCCTGAAAGCAGGGTGATTTTCTTTTCTTTCAGTCGAACCATGTGAATGTTTTGGTTTTAACCATGTGAATGTTTTGGTTTTTTGCTTTAAAGACAAACGAAGGGGATAAAAACTCAGTAAAGTTGGTCACAGTTTGCAAAGGGCAGTCTCTTAACCCATTGCCTTCTACAAAGTGTGAGCTGGGAAAAACCTTAARTTTGTAAAGTTTTGGCTGGCTTATGTTGCTAGGGTGGGGTCTGGATAAGATGAGGCTTTAACCTCATTACTTACCCGTGTGATATATGTCATGAAGGTCCGATGGGGCCAGTACAGCCCTGAAATGGAAACCAGAACTTGAAAAATAAAGAGGAATTTTTGAAAACACAGTAAGAAAATAGGGAATTTTTCTCCTCCACTACTCATCTACACAGTTTCCAAGTTACAGTTCATTTTCAGTCATCACTTAGACCCTGGCTTAAACCACCTTGGGAGCCTGTGCTGCACAGCCTGCAGGTTACTTTTATGAGGCTTTCTCTGTGCCATTTCTTTGGGTTGGGTTTTTTCTAAAGCTTCCAGTGGTGATAAATGTGTGCATTTGATGCATCTCCAGGATCATCCTGGRGAGCCTGCACCCAGAGCTGTGCTGATGATATTTCTCCTTTCTTTACCTTTTGCTCAGACCAACGAGTGGAATAAGAACGATGATCGGCTGCTGCAGGCGGTGGAGAATGGAGACCCTGAGAAAGTGGCTTCRCTGCTGGGCAAAAAGGGAGCCAGCGCCACCAAACAGGACAGCGAGGGCAAAACCGCGTAAGTCCAGCCTAAACCTGTGGTTTAAGCACCAGGSAGGGGAAAACCCCAGCCCTAGAAGTGCATGCAACTTCTGGGAATTAAAACCYAGTTACTATCCTGGAAATGACGGTTTCTTTTTCTTCAGAAGCGCAGCACATTCTGGAAAGCTCCTTTCTGGTAGTGAATTATGTGTAATTATACATTGCAAATCCCATTTCAAAGTCMCAAGATCATTGAGGTAATTTGAAGTTTAACACACTGCTAGGTAGATTGGGGCCATTTTAGGACAAGGTGCTTTTGAATTTCATGGCACACTACAGAKGGCACACTTTAAAAGGTATTCATCTTTGAGGCTATTTTTTTCCCACGGACATTATATTAATAAGGCAGAAATGAAGATAAATTTTCATCCCTGTGGGTTTGTCTGCACTGAAACGATGGTTGACAGAGTTTTAAAATCCTGCAGATGCTAAGGATTCTCTAAGTGTTCCTTGTTTTGATTGAAGTGTGGCAATGATTTGTGTAAACAAAATTCCTTTTGTTTCTCTCAGTGTGTTTCATATRTAGCATTTTTGTCTTCTGTTCTTCCTCTTGTTCTCCTTTGAACATTCTGGATAGAGAAAGATAAAAGATTCCACTAAGAAAACTACAGCTGAAAGATTGCTATCCTTAAACTTTCTTTCTTATTACTCAGAAAGATGAGTAACTGGGTAAAAGACAAATAGGCATCCCATGACAGAACCAAAACCTTCATAAAATTCTGGATCGATCAAAAGGAACAAAGGAAGACAGTTTCTAGTCCTGGGAAGGGCAGCACAAGGCAGTTTATACCAAATTGTAATTTTTAATAAATTACCTCTGGGTCACATTTATTGAGTCATACTCTGCTTCTTTCTTGGTCTGGTTCAATTTCCTACATCTGCTCTATTTCTGCTCCACTCTGTTTCTTCATCTGAAGAAGCTGAGTGATGGATTGACTCATAATGACCTGCAATTTCTTACAGCAGAAGTCCCAGTCATCAATTACGTCAAGTGAGCTTTCTCCTCCATACTTTAACAGATTTGTAATTTTATTTAGAAGTTGCATACATATGTTTTTCTTCTGGCCATTGAATTTTTGGAATTATGGCTATATTTAGAATTTCATGTTTTTACAATCAGATCCAGATTCTAGATTCTTAAGCTCTTTTTAAGCTGCACTCTATATAGTGTATCCAGTGTAACACCTAGTTTTCAAGTTTCATGTATAAATTGATTTTTAGTAATTAATTTTTCTAGGGAACCATCCAAGACTGAATTTTATCACTGTCTCTTAACTCTAAGAATATAGCTAGGTATTGGTTTAACGATTTTTCAGCTTTACATGGATACAATAAAAAAACCCTTTTTCACTCTTTATTTGGAGCTACTAAGAAGTTGGTAGCCATTTATTTATATGAATGATGCTGTTAGTAATAATGCAGTTGTAAGTACTACTTTCAATTGCTTGGAACAAATGTGAGTTAGTCCTATAAAGATCCCTCGTTCTCCTTGTTCTGTATGCTCATAAAATTGTCATTTACTTTTAATTTTTTTTTCTGTGTCGTGGTTTAAAAGACATCTTGAGAGAGAACAAAGAGAAGCAGCATGCTGTGATGCAGAAATACAGCATGCCAACTCTCATTCTTTTTTTTTCCTGTGCTTTGGGAAATTTAACAGACCTGTTCAGGTTATTTCTGTCTCCATATTGAAAGATAGAGACTGACAGGTGTGAAAGCAATSACACTAACCTGGAGAGACATAGCTACCAAAGGTGACCCAGAAATGTTCTCCAGCGTGGCTTATGAACAATGGGCTGTGTCTTGTTGGTGTTTTTATCACTCTGGAATATTTTTTTTTTTACTATATAATGGAGCACAGCCATCATTTCTGTATAGACTTGTTTCTGCTGTGATTGCAGTGTGGTGCCAGTGCTTCATTCCTCCATGTGTCTGGCTGCCTGACACGGGTGCCTTGCCTGGCCTCAGTCTGTGCTCAGAGGCACCGACCCTCCTGCAGCCCAGCACTGAAGTCTGTTGTGTGCAGCAGAAGTGTGGTACTGGTTTGTGAGTTACTCCATCTGTAGCATCAGCMGCTCCTGTGCTGGGAAATCTCAGTCTGAGCAGGGTTTTCCGGGAGAGCTGTCCACTCTTGTGCTCAGATTTCATAGAATCGTAGAGTGGTTAGKGTTGGGAGAGACCTTAAAGATCATCTTGTTCCAATYAACCTTCCACTTGACCACATTGCTCAAAGCCCCATCCARTCTGACCTTGAACATTTCAGGAATGGCTCTTCCACRGACTCTSTGGGCMACCTCTTCCAATGCCTCAACTCTTTCACGGTAAAGAATTTCTCCCTACTACCCTGTCCAAATCCACTCTCTTTCAGTCTGAAGCCATTCACCGTGTGCTGTCCCATGCTTGTGAAAGGTTTCTCTCCATCTTTCTGGTAATTTCCCTCTTGTAGGTACWGGAAGGTGCTACAAGATCTCCCCAGAGCCTCCTCCCATGAGTGTTGCACATGGAAAATGAGGCAGTGGCTGGTGACAGCCAACACAGCTTCAATAAAGGCAAATAGTGCCTGACAAATTTGCTGCCCTTGTACAGTGCTGGTGCCCGAGGGAAGAGCAATTACATCGTTTGTCTGGGCTTGTGGGAAGCATTTGACACTGTCCTGCACAGCACYCCTGTCTCCTGCCTGCAGAGAAATGGTTCTGGGAGACGGACCAGAGCTTCACGTGGGGTCTGATGAGGGCCGAGCAGAGAGGCAGAGTCACCTCCCTTGACCAGCTGACCATGGAATCCTTTTGAGGCAGAGCAGGAAATGATTTCTGGGCTGTGAGCTGAAGTTGTCCGCTCCTGTCCAGCCTCTCACCCACCAGCACACCCAAATTCTTCTCAGTAGGGCTGCTCTCAGTCTGCRCTCTGCCCAGCCTGTGTTTGTGCTTGGGTTTGCCCTGTCCCGGGTGCAGGACCATCACTTGGCCCTGTTGAACCTCCAGAGAGGCTCCTGTGGTTTCACCGGTTATGTTTCGGAACATTTGGAAGGTTTGGAATGTTTTGGAACATTTTCTGCGGTGCCATGTGGGAAGGGAGCTCTTTGGATGAGGGGTCTATTGATCCCTGTGAGCTTATATTGRTGCATTTGTTGATGTAGTTAGGATGAAGCTGACTAACCAGAAGAACGTGATGGATTCAGTTATGTAACAGAGTGTTTAATGTGATTAAAGACTTTGGAATGTGCTTGAGAGCAAAAAAGGAGAAACAATTACACAYTGGAATACAGGTTTGTTAGCCCCATCATTGTCTGTTCCCTTAAGGTTGACATGTTGCTTCAAAGACTTTTCTCTCTCATTCTTTTTGTTAACAACCCTACAAACTAAATTTTCTGTACTGTCCAGATTTTTTGAGGTACAGTAATATAGTGCATTATTTTAAACACAAGGTGGAGAGGATAATTTTCCATGCTTAGAAAGGTATTTTTAAGTTTTAATGTTATAATCAAGTGGCTTCCTCTTGTAAAATGCTTGAACTAAGGGRAACAGAGACCACAACCAAAGATTTTCTCTTTTTGTCCTTTTGAGTACTGTATGTATCATCTCAGTGAGTCCTGCTATGATGTGCTCCCGTTCAGTTTTGGATATTACCACCTWAATTCCTCTTTGTGTCCTCTTTAGTCCCTCTCCTTCAGGACCTTTACTTTGTGACTTTTCAACATGCAATAAAATGGAGATGCTTAAATTGATGAGGTCTAGGTACCTCATTAATTTATAGTATTAGTATTAAGTTAGGTATTTCTTAGAAATAGTATTTACAATTTTCATTAGGAGGTTTAACTCCTCAGCAGTATCTCTTTAAAAAGAAGTATTCAAAAAATACCTTGTCAGAGTAATGAAATTACGGTTTTTTAAAACCCGCTTGACTTTCCACTCCATCACTCTGCCTTTGACTAAGTTCTTTCTGTAAACAATAAATCACTTTTAAGGCCATGGAGCAAATCCACCTTTGGCAAAAGTTGACACAGTCCCATTGTTGCTCCCACTTGCATAGCAGAGACCACTGCCAAGCATATTTGTAATAGAACCTATCTGGAAATCTGACTCTGTCATTGTAGTCTTATTTTGCCAGATAASTTGGTTGTTTTTTCTTTTGGTCCAGCTTCCTTAAACAACAAAATGGGGCTTTCCAGCTTGGAATTTGATCATTTAAATCCACTTAAACTAACAAAAAAAGGGGTTTTCAAAGGGATCCCTTTCAAGAGTGATAGGATTGGATTCATTCATGTGCTGTACTTTCCACAAGATCAAGTGTTCAAACGGGCTGTTATTTTAAGAAGCTGCTGCCATTATTGAGGGGAAGCGGAGGGATGGGGGTGGGGGAATGATTTTGGAAAGGATTTACGGTGTATAAATGGTAGCACTTCCTTGTCCTGAAGTTATTTTGTCAGTGTGCCAGTCCATTACTGCCATGTTTGCATGTTTCTGCAAGGTACTAAACTAGAATTAAATGCTTTTGGCTATTAAGTGAAACAATAGATCTCTGTAATGTTTTTTTCCTGAACTACAATTGAATCAGCTGTTATTTAATAAAATGACTCTGACAATAGTACAAAAACGCTTTAGAAACCTCCGCAAATTTGCTCTTTAAGGGCTTGTTCACAAAGCTACTGCCAACAGCAGTTAATAGAAAATATGTATTTTCATTTGAAAGAGAATGTTCATGTCTTGGAGGCTGAACTAAAAATAAATTTTGGAGCGTATTCCAACTGCAAATACTTGATATTTATTATGTACATAGTATTCATTTTTGTTTTCTTCCTTTCAGACCTTACTGTATAAGGAGGTCGAAACAAGTRAAGAACATCACTTTTCAAAAAGTAGATAGTGTTTTAATTACCTTTGAGAGAGAATGTTTCCTTGTATGTAATAATATTTATCTTGAAATAAGCTATTGGAAGAATGCATGGAATGATAGAATAATCTGAGTTGGAYGGGACGCACA